CAAAGTATAATTGGACCTTCAAAATGCTATCCGACAGGATCATTCCACTCTATTAGCTCTAAGAAGTATGGCAACATAGACCTCTCAAGCTGGATTTTCAAGTTCCTTACGTTTTAAGTAGCAGTTCATAACATGAATTATTCGCAATCTGGTGAAGGAGACCATTGAAAGAGCATAGTTATAATGCTATTTCCAAGTCTCCTCGAAGATTAAGTTTTACCTGAACATTCAGAAAATTTGAAATTTGAAACACATCTTTTCACTTCAAAGGACTGCAGGGTTAGCTTAGAAGTCCGAACCAGAAAAGTCATTTTTTTCAAAAGAGTTTTTTTGGTGAGGTGTATAGTATTGGAGAGTTAAATAATAAAAAGAAATAGTAAAATTTTTAACTTCTTCTTTACAGCGAAACATAAGAATCGCAAGATATAGTAAAGTAAAACATATGGTAAAATTTTACTATGTATTGCTTATGCGTACCTAGAAAACGCATAAAAAAGTGGTTTCTCGGTCAATACCTTCATTTTCGGACATGAAATAATGCAAACCTGAGGAAAAGAAGAAGGAAGGTGATGGAGGAAGGTGGAGAAGAAGATTAAAATTAATAGATTTTGAAAATCTAAAAATATATATATCACGGGCGGATTAAAAAAAATGTTTAAAAAAATATAATTAAGTTGTGGTTTTTTTCTTTTAGAGAGTGTTTATATTGGCCTATCTATATATTGGTTGAAATCTCCTAATTCTAACACATCTTGCTTTATACATTCCTTTTCAGGATGGTTAGAAGAACTACAAAGTCTCGATTTGGGAGGAATAGAAGTTTATGACGTTTCTTTCTCTCAAAGCCTCGTGAAACAGACGAAGATTCTCATTTCTGACTAAACATACAGTATTTCACAAAAACTTTGATCATTGAAAAACCGAATAGCAGTAAATTTAATGGAACAACTTCTACTACTAAAATCGTTGAAAATTATTATTTAAAAGATACCACAGTTTATCTGAACTTTGAGAATAGCATGAATTTGTCCTATGAAATTACTTGCATATATCTGTTATTCACACATCAATGTCATCTACTCACAGCAGAGATGACGGCATATGCCTTTGCTTCTGAATAACGATTGATTACCCTTATCGGACTGTGCAGTTTTCAACACGTTACGTGATAACTCCGTCCTTTTACAGGTGTTTCCAGATGTGGGTTCACTTTACTTTTCAATTTTAGAAAATTTTAAGCAGGAAATCCTATTCTTCACCCCATATATGCATGTATTATCTGCTACGTACCTGGTTCTGAATTTTTTAGAAAAAAATTTTGTGAAGCTTCCTTTTCTGATTATATAATTAGTATGAGCATGAATTAGTACGGTATAATGTTGACGAGATGTGAACAAAAATGGTTTTTGAGTAGGTCAGAGCACCCCAACGTTAACCTAAACCAAGTAAAAGGTTAATCCCTGCAAATTTTCATATTAAAGGCGATTCTTTTTTTAAGAATAGAACTCAAGTGTGAGCAAAATTCAGATCAAATCGCCAACAGATCTGGTTATTTTTACGAGGTGGCGAATATGTTCATGTAAGGTGCAAAATTTTGTAAATTTTCCCTTAAAAAATCAGGAAAGTCATTGTTATTTAACCAACAATTTCCGATTTCTTCTCTTGCTTTAGCTCCCCTTTCTTTCACTAAACCATCTGACCATACGAAATCAGGTAGACACGTTGCAAGAAGTGTATGATTTTCGTCAAAAGCTTCTTTCCTCCGGGTATTGTATATAGAAGTAAGTCGTAGCAAATTTCAAACCTCTTTTTTGCAGGAGCCAACCGCGAAGTCGTCATGATTCCTTAAGTGAAAAATCGCAGAGAAATGATGAACGAGAGCAAAATCGCAGATTTCCATCATCAGATGTAGATTCTAAACAATTTTTGCGAATCGCATCTTGGCAGAAAACATCCGATTCTGAAACTTCCACTATCGCTTCAGAACCAGACAAAGGAGGTAGACGTTAAGCATTCTCCTTACCTCTGATCATCTTTTCGTTTAAGGAACCATGCTTTCTTGGTATCGTAACATCTCCAGGCGAAAATTCTTTATCATCCTCATCATTCTGCTTATCGTGCTCTTCGCTGCTGCCATAATTCTGACAGTAGTATTGGTTGTTGTACTACCTGGTCGTCATCATGGTGACCACGACTTCACTGCAATTGTTTTTACCCCCACTATACCTTACACAACAACAGTAACGACAGCTTCAGTGCCTTACCCTGTAGGCTATGTGGTTGGAACCGTGTTTCGCTACATACCTCTGGGTAAAGTTGATAGTGTTATGCCAGACACGAGAGGGTATACTTACCGGAAACAACTTCTCACCTGGGGCAATGATACTATATCCGTTCTAGCGGATAACGTTACCCAGGGTAGTTTACACTTGGACACAGGAAATTGTACGACATGTACATTA